GAGAAAGGAGAAGAAAGTTAGCTACTTTAGTGATGAGAGTGATGATGAAGATTAGCTTCTTAGATTCATTTTATGGTTTGTGAATACTGAAAGAGAGAGATTGATCAAAGTTCAGGAACAATTACAATCTTCTGGTTTCGTCTTCGTATGTGATCATGTTTGATGACTCTGGTTGTTCTGTCTTGAGTGATATAGTTCTTGGTTTGAAGATTACATTGTTGTTCATCAATGCATTTTAGCTCTTGATTTTTATGAGTTCTTAACAGTCCATTGTATCTCTGCAACTTATTGAGTTTATGTATAGTAAAATCATTTTTTCAGGTATGTGAATTGTGAAACAACACCAATCAGAGAAAAAAGAGATTGATTTGGTTTCGTCTTCATTTTACATTTGTTTGATGACTGGATATGTCCAAGTGAAGTTACATTTTGACTCATATAACTTGTGTAAGTTCTTAATTTCTGATTGCATTCTTGTGCAGCTCACTTTTTTATTTGAAGACTGCACTGTTGTACAATATACTTTGGGTAATGCACAAAGTCTTAAGAGTCTTGTTGCAGAAACCTGAAGAATTTTAAAGCTGTCCTGCTGTCTTCCTCACTCAAAACTTTCAGCTGGAACTGCTCCCGGTCTGCGTAGAGAACAAGTGTTTCATTATTTATGCATAGATTTAAGACCATAGGTGACTTTGGTGCAACACTTTTAAGATTGACTAACCAGTAACTCATGATCTCCCATGATTTCTTCAGTTAACTCAAAGATAGGTTTATCAGCACTGTTCGGAACCATAGCTGCAAACACAACTGGTTCCAGCCCTGCATTTGATCCACCACTTTTTAAAATGACATGCATTAAAGTCTCCCTTTTATTGTTTCATTTTGAATTTGTATTGTAGGTACCAGTTTCTGGGAATGCATCAATGAACATCATCATCTCCTCTCCTGTCAAACCAGATAAGAAGCAGATCCGAGGCAGTGATTCCGCGATCTGCACAGCGGATTTACGTAAGAAACAAGACAAAAGAACCTGAATGTGGAATTGAAACGCCACTTACTTTCACTCTCTTCAGGTCAGGCTGTTTTGTGGTAACTGCTTCCCATAACGAACGCTTGATCATATCGTCTGTACAGAACACAATCTGGGGTCCAAACAGCAACATAAGGTTTTATGAAATCTGCAAAAGTTTTAGGATCATGCAAGAGTCAGAGAGAGAGAGAAGTCAGATAACCTCCATGAATTCGCCATCGAGTTCCTTGAGAAGTTCTTGTATCTGCATTACAAGATGATGGATTAATCCAAAGACTCAAAAAAGCTTTGGAAGTTTGATATCCATCTAATGTATATATCACCTTTTGTGCTTCATGAAGTTGAAGGCCAAGCAACAGCAAAACCTGCAAAAAAAGATTGAATCAAAGTGTTTGTCATCATCACAGACTATCTATCAACACTCAACAGTATACAAAGTTGAAAGGGACAAATAAACTGACTGGAGGGCCGAATCGAGGATCTTGAGGATCTAAAGGTACAAACTTGGAATCTTCCTCAAGTGTCTTTGGAATCTCTTGAGCTGAATTTCTAACACATAGCTTTTGCTTCTTGAGCTTTGTGTTTGTGTGGTGAGATTTACTCTTTGTCCATAACAAAGAAGACGTAACTAGCCCAAAGATGCGAGAAGAGCTTCCTAAGTACGTATATGAAGATGATGAAGAAGTTGGCTTTGAGATTGCAGACCCCAACGAAGAAATCGACATTGCTCCTTGTCTCCTAATCTCATCTCTATCTTGCTTGTTAGATAAAATCGTTCATGTAGCCAATCATGTTTTGCCATGTGTCATGTACATAAACCGCATCAAAACCTGTTCATTACTCTTGCAAGCCTACCTCGGCTTTATTTTGTATAAACAACGTTTTAAGTTTTGTTTTATACATTTCGTTATTTCGGAAACAAACATAGATAACACATTTCGTAGTAATTATTATGTTTTTGGTGTCAGCAGAGTTTGATTTTATAACGAAATTGGGCAACCCCTACATATACTGTATCTTTCTTATGACTTATGAGATCAAATTACAGAAGAAAACGTCAATTGCTCACACATTGTTTTATGTTTGCTGCCTTTTGTTTTCATGCAACGCAAAAGAAGATGTGATCACATCTGAGCAACCAGTTCCTCTCCTCCCTGAGCAGCAACAGTCACAGTAGCATCTTCGATAAGTGAATTCTCCATCCATCGCTTCAGCATTTTCAATGCAGCTTTAGGCTGGTCCATTGGAACCATGTGTCCTGCATCTCTCACCTGTGTTTTTATGTTTAAATCATCAAACCCTTTGTTGTTGTTACATACTATAAGAAAACCAGTAGAACCAAAGAACGACTGTTGTTATTATGCAAGAAAGGCCGACCTTGAGGAAACTGAGTTGTTCATAAGTCTTTAACAAGCCTGCTTCTTTGCCATCCACAATAAACGGAACTTCTTTAGCCGCCCCAAAGTTTGTTTTCCCTGACCACTCCATTGCATTCACCCACCTCGAGTTACCTGCTCCAATTTTGTTTCCCTCAACAGTTCAAATCAATCTATTTCATTATTTTCATGTCTGGATTTGATTATCTATGTTTTGGAACTTACCGAGCCAGTTGCAGATAAGATCATATTCTCCAGCATACACAAGGAGGCTGATTCCATCTTCCAAGAGCGTGGGAATTCCAACCTCGAGATTCCTCATCCAATCTACAAGCATTGCCTGATAGACTGAAGTACTGCAGGAGACAAAGTCTATGTCCCCAACACCAAGTGACTTCCTCACAGATTGCAGATTCAAAAATTTCTCCATGTTTGAGAAATCGTAGCACAAACTTCCCACGCACTTCTTCCTGATGTCGTAATACTACACAAAGATATGTGAACTCCCTCATTAGCCTTGTTTCCTTACTTCAAATGCAGAAATATGAAACACAATTTCTTTCTACAAGTAAGGATAGAAATGGTTTGCCAGAACGAATTATATCTAGAAATCCAACGAGCAATAAAAATTGAGCAGTTCTTTTGGGCTTACGTTTACTCCACCAGCATGACTCATTACACCACTGAACAAAGAGTTGCAGACAAGATATGATGCCAAACAAGAAGTTGTGCCATCAGTTCCTGGTAAAACAAAAACACGGATTCAGGATTCATCAAACACAGAGCAATTTTAAAGATAAATTGATAAGGAATAAAGGAGTAAGTACCACAAAGCTTGATTGATAGTTCGCACAGTGGGACAATCTTTTCTAAGCGATCATGCTCTTTTTGCGTGATTAGACCCATTTCCAAAGCGTAGTCAGGATAGGCTGGGTATTGGAGTGCAGGATCTGTAAGCCCATTTCCAATAGCGAATCCCTGCAAGGTTATACTTGTGAGTACTACAGACTTCCATTAACACCTTAAGAGAGAAACAAGAAATAGTCACATGCCTTTAGGTTAATATGAACTCCCTCATTAGCCTTGTTTCCTTTATGGACTCGGGAAGCAAAAGCTGGGATATAGTGCCCAGCATATGACTCTCCAGTAATATAAAAGTCGTTTTTTGCCAACTTAGGGTGCTCCGCAAAGAAAGCCTGAGGTAACATCAGCAAACTTCATCAAGATCTTGTTACACAGCTAAGCAAACAAAGGCAGATTCCCATTTTTTCGAAGACTCAAGAAAACCAAAACAGTCTAACAGAGTTGTTGTTTATCCAATTCATAGCTTTAAAGCAGAAAAGTGCAGTATAGAAAGGAATTCAAGAGAAGATCCAGTGACCTAACCTGCAGAAAATCATAAAGATCATTGCTAACTCCAGTTTCGTCATGACGGATATCACTTTTATCTGTCGTGTAGCTGAAACCAGTTCCAACAGGCTGATCAACATACAGAAGATTGGAAACCTGCAAGACAAACTCTCTATCAACTCTCATGTGCAATAATCTGGAATATTAAGGCGGTTTGGGATTATAATAGAAAGTAATAATACCTGATCCCATCCATACTCATTCCAAGCAAGAGACATGTTACTAGTGATCTTGAAAGGACCATTCTCATAGAACACAGCCAACTCACTACTACATCCAGGCCCTCCCGTCAACCAAATCACAACAGGAGCATCCTTCTTGTTCCGTGACTCGAAGAAGAAGTAGAACATGCTAACACACACCAAGCAAACAAATCAACAAACAAAGCAAACAAACATTTATAATCTATTCCCACTACTTTGAGATTCCAATTAGAAAAACGTCACCAACAGTCCAATGTTCTAATCGAATCAAACATAACCTAGTCAAGAGCTAGCTGCAAGCTTCTATATACCTATGAACCAAAATCTAAAGTCAGATATAAACCTTGCGCCACGAGATTTCGGGAGCTTGTAATAACCAGCATGATGACCTAAATCGTCGACAGTAGGGCCACCATCGGCAAGTATATTCGGGAATACGAACTTCCGTTCAACAATCCCCGGTCCCTCCGCAGCAGTGAGAGGCAAATCAGCGACATCGATCACATTCAGATCCTGCTGCGGGAAAAGGTTTAGCTCACGGATCAGCTTCTCCGCGCGCGTAGACGGCAAGTTCGATCTCTCAAAGGTGCGATCATTCAAGAGGAACGATGAAGACGGTATCGTTGAAGCGATGAAGACGACGAAATGCAGGAGAAGGCTGAGAAAAGTTAGTTTCTCCATTTTTGGTTCTTTCAACTGTGCTTCTTTTTTTTTCCTTTTCTGAGATTGTTGTATACAACAATTTGGGGGAGGAGAGAATGTACACGTGGCAGGAACTATCACAGAAATATCTTCCGATACGTGCCCGAGAAAGTTGGGGCTATTTTGCGAAATATGAGAAATAGTGGGTGAATCTGTTACGTTACAACAAAGATAACGTTTGGCGTAGTAATCGACGGTTAGGCACGCGAGTTGAATGTGAAGCAAAAGATGGATGAGTGTGGGTCCCAGATAATTTAAAAGTGAAATAAAATGTTAAAAATATTCAACCTGCCGGAATCGAACCAGCGACCTAAAGACTTCTTTGGAATTACCCATTACAGTCTTCCGCTCTACCAACTGAGCTAAGGTCGGTTTGATATTAATATTAAGTTTACACTATATATTAAATTAATTATTACAAAAACACTTATGGGCCTCACGTGAATGTAAACCTTACATTTTATAGTGAATGTAATATTCTACAAGGTGTGTTTCTGATTAGAAGGCCCAATCCTAAACCACTATTTGTAAAGCACCTAAAAGCCCATTCGGCTAAAAAACGAAGATGACTCAAGAAATTAAGGAACCGTCGTTGTAGATACACAATGTTTGGGTTGACTTGTATTTCATTCATTTAGTCTGGTTTTTGTTTGGTTTAATTTAGTCAGCAATTTTGGTTCAAATCTCAATTTGCAGAGCTAAAAAGTTGACGACTTTTGCATCTGCCGTGCGAGAAACACCAACTCCGACTTTGGGCTAAATTTGTCAAAGAGTTCCAAACGAATTGGCAATAAACGGTAGCTCCATAGTCAGACACGTGTCAACAAGATTGTCCAACTCTCCACGTGGCGCCACGTGAACCAGTTGCTTGAACGGCTATGTTATCATCTTTCCCTCTACAATGGACCCTACTTTGTTCTATACAGATGCAGTTTCTGTGTAATTAGATGCTTTGATCCTTTGGAATCTTCCACTAGTTTCAGTCTTCACGCATCATCATATTCCAAAAAAATGAAATGAAAAAAGAACTAATACTCAAAACGTTGTCGTTTCGTTGTGCTTCATAGCTCTTCTCCTCCTCAGCTTTTCCTTTTTAGCTTCTTCATTTCTGCTTTCCAGACAGATATACACACCAGTAGCTAAAACGAAAAGACAGAATCTTTTATTTAATTCATTTTTTATTTGAAAGTACATAATTAAAAAAAATAATTAATTAATCGTGATGAGGGCGTTGAATTCGCGGCTAGTTCTGATCGACATCAACAGCTCCTGGCAAGCTTCGCGCCGGTTAATCTCAGCCACCGCAACCGCTTTTTCATCTGATTCCTCTTCCTCATTCCGTCGGACACGTGGTGCGCGTCAGAGAATCGCTTCATCGAAATCCCCGGCGTCGTCACCGTCTCCTGTTCGGAGACCATCTGATGGATTCAGTTTCGAAGTTCGGTCACCGTCATCTGATTCATCGATCTCATCACGGAAGTCACCGACGACGGCTCCGCCTACGGTGGAGCTCGACGCTTTCCTAGAGATTCTTCCTCCGGCGACGAGGAAGGAGCTTGTTAAGCACGAGGCGATTGAGGAATTGATCGAAGTAGTGATGGATTTAGGGAGAAAGCCACTTGCTAGATTCCCTTCCGGCGATTGGGTGATCTCAGAGCAGCCTGTGACACACCAGGATCTGGAGCTTGCGGTATCAAAGGTATGTGTGTCTCTGATCTAAGACATGCAACTAATTTCTCAAATGTTTTAGCTTATTGCAGTTCTTCAAGACTGATAAGACTTGCTTATACTGATTATGGTCTCTTCTGTGTCTGAATCAAAATGTTTTGAATTTAGGTTGGTGATTTTTCGGACGATAACCGATCCGGGATTGACAGATCTTTGCATCGTATAAGCGCTATACGTAATCGCAAACTGCAAGTAATTGGTCTAACATGTCGAGTGGGTCGAGTAGTCTCTGGAAGTGCAGAAATTATAAGAGACTTGATTGAAGGAGGAGGATCCATCTTGGTCATTGGATCTCCTGGAGTTGGCAAAACAACTTTAATCAGGTACATCAATATGAACTTATAATGTGATGATCTTTCTGTTAAAACTGTGATTGATAAATGGTATATGACAAGATTGGTTTGTTTTGTACAGAGAAATTGCACGGATGTTAGCTGATGAACACAGGAAACGTGTAGTGATTGTTGACACGTCAAATGAGATTGGAGGTGATGGTGATGTTCCTCATTCTGGAATTGGTCGTGCCAGGCGGATGCAAGTTCCAAATGTGAATTTACAGCACGATGTATGTCTCGCAACTTTATAACCTTGTAATAATATGGTGTAGGATGGAATCAAAAGGATCTTGCTGTATTAACAAGTTCTTTATGCAGGTTATGATTGAGGCGGTTGAGAATCATATGCCTGAGACAATCATCATTGACGAGATAGGAACTGAGCTTGAAGCTTTAGCTGCTAGCACTATTGCTCAACGAGGTGTTCAGCTTGTTGCAACTGCTCATGGGATGACTATAGACAACATAATCAAAAATCCTTCTTTGCAGATTCTTATTGGTGGAATTGAGGTAAAACCTTAGACAACAACTTTGCTTCTTATTTTGTTCTGTTGTTTATCTTCTCTAACCTTAATTTGAATTTATTTTGCCCAGAGTGTGACTCTTGGTGATGAAGAAGCAAGGAAAAGAAAAGTGCAGAAGACAATTCTTGAAAGAAAAGGACCTCCGACATTCACTTGTGCTGTAGAGATGATATCGAGAACTGAGTGTCGTGTTCATCAAAGACTAGATGTTACCGTTGATGCTATACTAGCTGGTAAGTTAAAACTTAAAAGACTTCCTCTCCCAATAAAGTGTAATTGAGTTAACAAATGGTAAAACCAAACCGAACAAACTTCTTTGTTATTATAGGGAAATCCGCTCCATTTGAGATCCGTCAAATTCGTGGCGAAGACGATGTTCCTCATAAGTTAGTGACTCCCATTCCTTTGGAGAACCTTGAAGAGGAGCCTGCACCATTGCTCAACAGAGATTTCGTAAGTGAATTGCTGTCTGACGATGAAGATGAAGATTTTCTTCCCATTCGGTCTAATAAGGCCAGAAGTAACACATACACGAGCCCAAGAAGCTCACCGGTTCATGTGTATACTTACAATGTAAAGAACCTGATCTTTTATTGCCTAGTTTCTAAATGTTCCTTTTCTTATCCTTGGAAAATAATCTTCATCTTAAACAACCAAAGATACTGACTATAGATGTGGTATCATCTGATTGTTTTCTAGGTCCTTGAAGCTGATCTCCTCCAAGTAGCTGAAGTTATGGGTCTAGACGACGAAATAGAAGTGACAGATGATGTTGGAGAAGCAGATGTCATTCTAGCCTCAAGTTCTGAATTGAAACAGAATTCATCAATCCGTCGTGTTGCCAAATTACACAAGCTACCGATATTTGTCATTAAGGTATCCTTCTTTTTGCATGGCTGATTATGATTCAGCGCATTCCTTTGTTTTATTAATTTGAATCACTTCTTTCGTCCTGTTATTACCTTGCAGTCAACTACTATGGCTCAGATGGTGAAGGCAGTCCGAATGATCCTTGGAAGGGAATCATTTGGCTCAGCCCCTAAAGCCATAGAAAAATCTTCTGTTGATGATATCGAGATCAAAGATGATGCTCCTGAGAGCAAACCCAGTTTAGAAGAACTCGATGCCCTTGAGGTAACTCTCATCCCCCTCCTGTAACTATTCTCGGAATTTCCCAATAGAGATGGCTTGTTATCTCAGATCAGTCTCTTTGACCTACCAACTATTAGTTCATTAGGATTCCTACATCTCATGTAACTACTAATACAGTTCAGTGACTATAGATTAGGGAGACTTGCGAGTATAACTACTGATACCAGTTTCTGAAACGCAGGAAGTACGTCTAGCAATCGAATATATTGTAATCCCGGGAGGTGAACCAGTGGAGCTTCTTCCTAGACGATCAGATATAATAGTTCGGCAGCTAGAGCTGGTGGAGAGTTACCAACTCGCAGTTGAGAACCTCGGCACTCACCTTAATCCGCGCCTTCAGATTCTTCCTCGCCGATCAACCAAGAAGACGTTGACATCTTCATCCCCCCAAAAATCAGCAGATGGTAGCATGGGGACTACGGGTACTCGTCTTCCTTTCCTTAAGGATTGACATGTCTGACTTCAGCATATGGACTACAGTACATACTACATAAGTTGGGGACACTCTTGAACATTGTACATTTTACTGTAAGTCTTGGTAAATAAACTGTTTATATCGTTGATCATTTCTCATTTGCAATTTATGTGTTACCAATGCAATGCTCTTTCTTATTTACCCGAGGGGGTAACTCTGTAACATTGAGGGTGAGAGTGTGCAATCTGTAGATATTTCCTTACCTCTTAATAAATAGAAATTTCTCAAATATTCCACGTACACGCTTGAAAATGTAATTGAAATGATCGATTCTTATACACATACAAACTCTGTACCAAAACCCACATCTTCTCAAGATCGTAATACAAAAACTAAAACCAGAGGTCAATTTTAACAACATTTGCATATAGTATCGTAGTTGATTTCATTATTCATGGTAGAAGGGTTAACATACAGAAAGACCAAAAAACAGAACTCTCATTGCCACCTCTTATTCTGGAACGGGAATCAGACTTGGAACATAGACATAGCTACAATTATCCAGGTCATTGTAGTCCTCATCCGCTTCATGTCGTCCTGTCCGAATTCGTTTTGTAACCCCACCTTCGCCAATTTCGTAAAGAATGATGCTAGTATGATCATCATATTTTCCTACAAGTTGCTCGCACCATGCTATGATATTTCTGTTCTTGCCAATAAAGCACCCCGGAAGAGGCAGAATATCAATGGACCGGAACAACGGAATATCAGGGAGAGTCACACTGAAATATCTGCTGAACGAAACAACCTCATCACTCAACTTGTTTGTCACCGACACATGAATCTCCCTTGTTGCTTCATTTTGTTGTAACAGAGAAAGTCTATCTCCATTGAAACATCCTAATCGTTTGATATCCCAATAGAGTGGAGAATCGCATATGCGGTTGAATGTTTCCTTGGAGAAATCGAAACTTAAAATGAAGTTTTTCTTCTCCTGCAATTCAATCCAATACATACTTCCATTCACAGACACGCCGTCGACCTCAACATCTATTTCCCCATCAAACTTAGCCTCAATACTTCTCCACGAGCCAGAATTGAATTCATAGATCTGACACTTTGGATATGATTCATCATCATCATCATCACCAAGATAAGTAAACCTCAAGATTTTGTAGTTATCACGAAATGTTTTGTCGTATCCAAACCCCAAGTAAT